GGGGTGAGAAGATTCACCAGAGACAGAGTGGGGAGCAGAACAGGCGGATCTACTGAGATACCCTGCCGAGGGGAGCAGCGGGCGAGACAGGAGAGGTCTGCCGTGCCATGTGGGTAGCTCCCTGGCCATCTGGGGATTGAACTCGTTCTGCAGTATCTGGCAATAGCTTGATAGCGCTGTCTTTAACCCCTGTGCCAACAGGGAAGCCCCTTAATGGTAATTTCTACCCTTGCTCTTCTTTCCTCTTTGGGGGGGTGTGAGAAATAATTTTTGCTCACAATCTTCATGTCCTTATCTGCCCTTGCCCTGCCCTTCTCCTCCTTCTCCAGAGCCCAAGCAGTTATGGGCTACCTTTTGAGTCTTCTCCACAGACTTGTCCTTTGGGGCTCCTCTACTCTTTGGGATTTAGATTTTCAGAGCATTTTCCCACTGACTCTGGGCCTATACATCACCTTACCTCCTTGCCTGCTTATAGTCCTACCTTTTTAGTCCTGTCTCCGGGTCCAGGAATGGTACAGTTTGTTTCTTGCTGGCTTCACTGGGGAACCTGACAGTGGACTTGGAGCCCTGTATTGTCCTTGGGCCTGGAGGCTCTCCTGCAGTGGGTAGGGAGAGCTAACACGAGGAGGGCACAAAGGCACTTTTACCCCCAGGTCCTGGTGACTCATTTTAAAAAGTTAGAGGGTGAAGGAGGGAGAGCAGGGACGCAGGAGTGCTGTTAATTGTGCTTACACAGTACACTAGGCCTTCTGGGGTAGTTAGAACTAACCAGGTACAATGCTATGCCAATGTTTTGGGAGAGTTGGAAAACTCTTGAGTTTGGCAGAGCGATGGCCTTGGCTGGTGTGACTGTCACATATTCCACAATCAGTGACCCCTCTGAGAATCTGGGATCCAAGCCTCTTTCCAGAGAAAACGCTCAGTCACTAAGCTTCGTCCACTGGAAGATGGCAGGTAGGCAAATTCCTGCTTGTCACCAGACACTAGGAAGTGTGCCTAGCAGGAGCAAGCAAGGACCACGTTATCACCCTTTTTTTCAGATTTGTTGTAGCTGGTGCTCGAATGAGATGAGTGAATATTCTTGCTCAGCATCTCTCTCCCCCTGCTTCTCTCTCTCCAAGCCTGAGACAATCTAATTCCACAGGGGGCACTGGCAAAGAGACCCCAAAACCCAGTTGACTTCTGACCTGCTTTGTGCTTCAGATCCCATACCACCCCACCCCCAACCACCCCGCCCCCACCCGCAACCCCTCCCCCAACCCCTCCCCAACAGCTTCTGGGATAACCAACCTTCAGGAATAGACCATTTTTGGTGGGGCAGGAAGGAGGAAAGACATCAGTTTCCTCAAGAGAGGTGAGGCAGGGGAACAGCTGAGAGAAAGCTGCGCTGTCTGGAAAGGAAGCCAAAAAGGAAGACAGAGACTCTTTGAACTTCTCCCACTAAGCTGACAGGAAAACTGCAAAAACACCATCAGACTGGGTCAGGATGCAACGGGAACAACCAGGAAGGCATGGCTCCTTTGAAGGTTTCCCGCTCTGTGGTGAGGTAGGGGGCACCAGCTGCAAAGAGAGCAAGCCTGGGGGCTCAAATGGACACCAAACCGGTGCTGTCCTGTTCCCCGCAGCAACCAGAGCCAGAGGTAAGGGGGTTGTAAAAAGGAGATACTGATGAGCTGGAGCTGTCTGGAGAAGGGGAGGCTCCAAAGGAGGAATGCAGGGGCCTGCAGAGAAGTGAGAGTTAAGCAAGTGCAAGGCCATCCCTGATCCCTGAGATCGGTGCTGGTGAGATCTGGCAATGGGCCAGAGGGGTGAGGCAGGTCATTCTTGGCCTCCAGGAGTGACACTGAAGGGGTGTGAACAGAACCCACTATGTAATTTGTGGGACCCAGTGCAAAATGAAAATCTACCCTACTTGGGCCTCCCCTGGTGGCGCAGGCAGTTGAGCACTGCGCTGTGAAGCTGTCCGCAGCCTCTGCAGTGCCGGTTCAATCCCAGCCGGCTGGCGAGGGTCCCACATGGCACGCAGACCTCTCCTGTCTCACCCGCTGCTCCCCTCAGCAGTGTATTCTGTCAGTCTGCCTGTTCCGTTCCCTGCTCTGTCTCTGGTGGATCCTCTCACCCTCCCGCACATCTGGCCTGTACCCCGGGTCTTGTATAAATAAATAAATAAATCTTAAAAAAAAAATCTACCCTATCCCCATGCCCCCAGTTAAAAAATGATAAAGACTTTTAAGATGGCAACAGCAAAGTATTAAATCAAGTGCAGGGCCCTCTCGGCAGGGGGCCTGTGCAGGTGCTCAGGTCACGTGGCTGGGAACTGGCCCTTCTGTGAGGTTATCTAGTGCGAAAGTTCTGCCAGCTCCTATGGAAATGGACAGGATGCCAAAAGGATGAGTCCAGGCTGTGGTCATGAAGCCACAGGAGGGGAAAATCAAACTCTCTGAGGAGTCTTTTGGATTTAGAAAATATTGTAGAAAAATAAAGACTCTTAACAACAGGTTTTTAAGTTTTTAACAGGCCTTACATCTCTAAGACCATATAACAAAGGCGACAATTTTATGAGCCAAGGTATGCATAGCACATTTTATGATCCTAAACGACCTAAGTGATTTTTGTAGGTCCTTAAAGAACACTAAAAACGTTAGTCTAGTGGGGGGAGGGGGGGAAAGAACCGAATGTATTTCTATTTCTCCATCAAACAACTGTATTTCTTTGATAGAAGTCGTCCTTCCTGCCATTCTCTTGTACCCTAAGTTTATCCCACTTCTTGTCCCTAGATCAACCAGGTTTTCTTTCTTTCTTTCTCTCTTTCTCTCTCTTTCTCTCTTTCTTTCTGTCTGTCTTTCTTTCTCTCTCTCTCTCTCTCTCTCTCTCTCTTCCCTTCCTTCCTTTCTTTCTTCCTTCCTTCTCTTTTTTTATTTATTTATGCATACAAGAATCAGGGTCTAGGCCAGAGGTGTGTGGGGAGGAGCAGGTGAGAGGATCCACCAGAGAGAGAGTGGGGAACAGAACAGGCAGACTGACTGAAATACACTGCTGAGGGGAGCAGCAGGCGAGGCAGGAGAGGTCTGCCTTGCCATGTGGGTAGCTCCCTGGCTGGGGATCAAACCCAGCCACAGTGGCTGTGGATAGACTGATAGCACTGAGACTTAGGCCCTGCACCACCAGGGAGGCCCCCAGATCAGGTTGTTTCTTACTTGTCACCATTTTGCCTTTCACAGTTTGGAGCCACTGTCTCCCCAGTGTTGTTAGAGCTGGTGTCATTTGATGGGTCACACTTTCTCCCCAACCCCCCAAACAAACCCACCCTGTTAATCAGTCAACAGTTGTGTCAAACTCCCTCTGGAGATAGCCTCGTTGGAGCAATATAAGATGTGGTCCTAGAGCTTGAGGCGGGAAGAGAGGGACACTGAGAGTTAGAGGAAGAACTGGATGTGGCTGCTTTCCCTCTGCTTTGGGGGATCTGTTTCCAATGCCTTCTGGCTCCCTAGTTCAACTTCCCTTTAGGGAATGGGGTGAGGAGATGGGGAGATAGAGATGAACCTCTCCTCCTGTAGCTCTGAAGATCAATCAGGACCTGACTTTGTTCTCCATATGTGGCCTCTGGGAGAACAGACTGTCACTCTGGCTATGTGGCCAGTGTTTTCTCTCTCCAGTGGGGTTTTCTGGACTGCCCAGAGGAGAGATGTACTGACTAGCCCCTAAATTTTGGAGACCCTACCTGGTGAAGTGATGTGTCTCCCATATGTCATAAATCAGCAAAACCTTTGCTCAGCAAGCCTGTGAGGCTATGTCTTCTGAAATGGAGATACATGTGGTGATGAAGAGTTATACTATACTTCATTGCCCAGGAGAGGGTGTCCAAGGAAAGTCTGGGAGCTGGAAGTAAACTTTGAAAAGCAAAGAATTTCCTTTACACCTAGGCCAAGCCCCATTTGTAAATTGCAACATGAACAGCTACTTAACAGAGAAGAATAGAAGAGGCCTCAAGGGGTCTACCCAGCTACAGCCTCACTCACTCCTCAGGGTGGGGTTCTTGAAGTGGAGCAGAGACAAGTGGTCCACTTGTTTGCAAGGGACAGAATGGAAATGAGGAGACCAGGAATGAGGCCTGCTTCACCTGCTCTTCCTGCTGACAGACACCAGCCAAGCTTAGCAACCTCCCTGGGACTTCATGCCTTACCACTACCCCATCCCCCACTGCATCCCAGTCTGTGGGGCCACAGAGCAGTCCCTGATGCCTCGGACAGGAAGAGGCCCAAACAGGGACAGTCCCCTGGGGAGGACCAAAGGTCAGGGTCTGGGGGCCCAGCATGTGGCCCCCACTGGCACTGAAGGCAGGCAGCAGGGAGCCCGACCAGCGGGTGGCAGCGAGCACAGGGGAGGCCTCATGCCCTCGTGGCCAGGGTGACTGAATCTGCCAGCTGTGGGGCCCTCCTGTGCCAAGTCTGCCCTGGCTCCGTCTAGTCGTAATCGATGCTGGCGCCAGGCCAGGCCCCCTGCCAGCTCCCGTCACACTCGACTAACACAAGAGGCCCAGCCCATTAACTCCTCGCCAAGGCCCATTGTCTGGGTCCCTGCCCGGTGGTTTATTTACTCCGAGGCTGGACAGTGGGGGCTGGGAGGCAGTAGGAGCAGCCTAGGGCTGGCTGAGCCCACTAGGCCAGGCTGACCAGTGTCCAGAGCCCAGGACAGCTGGGGAGGGTTTGTTTTAGTGGTTTTTTTTTTTTTAATTTCTGTTACGATTTGAGTTGTTACAATGCTTAATATGCAGTCGATCAGAACATAAATAATTGTATTATTTAATACCTAGCTATTCAACATAAGAAGTAAATTTTTATTGGAAACGAGGCTTTCTTCTCAATTAATGCATGTATATATGGAATGACTATTGTTTATTGCTCTACTGAAGGTTCTAGTTTATCTCCATGTTTTATTTTGATACATTTAAACACTGAGAAGCATTGTTCAAATAAATAATAGAAACCAATGCGCTTTGTTACAGGAACGTCATTTAATTCTTTGAATGTCTTCCAAGTGATACGCATAATTCCATTTTTATCAAAACGGTTTTAATGATCTGCTGACAATTTGATGAGTGTCTACTTCAGTTCTGTTGAAAGTGAAGAAATGGAAATCACTTGACTTGCAAAAAGATTTGTTACCCCACTTATGTTCTCATGTCCACTGCAGGATGTGGTGCCCACAGTGGGGGTCAGAATGGTAAGAAAGTTTACACCTTTCTCTGTAGCACCCCATCTCCCGCAAGTGTGTGGGGGGATATCTTATCTTAGGCTTTAGGAAAAGCATAAAAAATGAAGATCAGAAAATGGATTCTTTTCAAATTATCTTGCTTCACCAGCCTCTTCAACCACTCCTGGTGTATGACACCCCCATTTTGTGACTCAGATTGAAAATTTACTTGAGGACCAGACTTTAATTTTTATTCCTCTGCTAGGAGTGAGCTCCAAAACAGATCTGATTGTGGCATTATACAGAGATGCCTGTGGCCAGAGTTCCAGGTCTTCACAGCCCTCCGATTATCCTTAGCAAAGCTAATCCCCTTCCAGTGTAGGCTTCCTCAGGCTCAGACCTGCAACCTGTTTATTATTAATATTATTATTATTATAGATTAATTTATTTATGCATACAAGAGCTGGAGTACAGGCCAGAGGTGTGGAGGGTGAGAGAACTCACCAGAGACAGATTGGGGAGCAGAACAGGCAGACTGACTGAAATACACTGCTGAGGGGAGCAGTGGGTGAGACAGGGGAGGTCTGCTTTGCCATATGAGTTGTTCCGTGGCTGGCCGGGGGTCGAACTCGTGCTGCAGAGGCTGCAGATTGCTTCATAGTGCGGTGCTTAACCCCTTGTGCCACCAGAGAGGCCCCTATTGTTTATTATTACTATTCATTGAGTTTATTATTTATTTACTATACAGAGGAAAGAAAGTGGCTGGAGGTTCCAAGAGACCTTTTCATAAGCATTAGAAACATCAATCTATCTCAGGGTCCTAGAGAAGTAGTTTCTAAGCAATTGCCCAAAAATTGAGAGGAAGCACCCCCAAATATTTATATTTTTATGAATTATATACATGTGCTACTGTGAACCAATGTATTATGTGGACTAGATTTTATTTTTAATATTCAAAAGGGCATGTTTTTTGTAAAAAGGGGAGGGAGGTAACGGACTCTCTCACAGACACGCGGGAGCTGGCCCTGAAAGGGACAGGTTTGTTGAAAGAGAGGCCTGCATTGTCATAGGCAGGCAGCCTTGGGAGGAGAGCTGCCTCTGATGCTTTGCGAGGGGAGAAAGTTGGTGAAGAGACACACCTGAGCAGGCTGGCAGGAGGCTGCTGCTAAACTTCCAGATTTCAAGAAACAAAGTTTATTTTATTCCCTACCCAACAGATTGTCCTGTGGAATCCTATTTATAATCCATTTTGCTAGATCTTTTACGCCAGGCTGTAGTGAAAGCCCCAGGGCACCTGTGGGGGAGGGGAAGATGGCACTGGGACTTCTGTTCTGACCTTCTCAGAGGCAGGACTCTCCAATCCTTTAGCCAATATTTACTAAGTTATGTGCCAGGCACTGTGCTGGGTTCTGAGAGTATAAAATGACACAATCTCTTGTTGCACAACAGTGTTAATGTGGTTAGCACTACTGATCTGCTCACTTAAAAATGGTTAAGATGGAAATTTTTATGTTATGTGTTTTTTACCACACCCACAAAAAAGACAGTCTCTGCACTTAAGAAGATTATAGAGTAGGGCCTCCCTGGTGGCGCGAGGGGTTAAGGCTCAGCACTGTGAAGCTATCTGCAGCACAAGTTGTATCCCCTGCCAGGGAGCTGACCCACATGGCCAGTAGACTTATCCTTATCTTGCTCACTGCTCCCCTCAGCAGTGTATTTCAATAGATCCACCTATTCTGCTCCCACTCTGTCTCTGGTGAATTCTCTCACCGCCCCCCACCCACCCCTTGCACCTCTGGCTTACACCCCAGCTCTTGTATGCATAAATAAATAAATATTTTTTTTTTTGAAGAAGAAGATTATAGAGTAGTGGGGGAAAAAAAGAATTAGCTCATTTGTTTATCCGGCAACTTTTAATTAATGGAATGCCAATCACGTCCCAGCCCTGGATAGGTGCTGGGGAGAAGCCTAGAAGCAAAACCAGGCTGTCAGCCTCCTATGGAGCCGACGGTCCATGGCCAGCTTGGAATGTGCACCTGCACTGCCCAGTACAGTAACTACTGGCCACGCATGCTGTTTACATTTAAATTAATTAAAATGAAATAAAATGGAAAATCCAGACCCCAGTCACACTAGCCATATTTCTAGTGCTCCATAGTCACAGAGGGCTAGGATCCCATGTTGGATCACATGGACAGACAAATTTTCAATCATGGTGCAGTCACACCATGGATGGGATGAACCAGATCATCTAGCAAGGCCCTTGTCAGTCTATCCTGTGCTTTAACGGCAATTTGAGAAAGTTTTCCCCTGGGCAGGTGCAGCTTCACTATGGCACAAGGCCTGTGGAGCAGAATGTGGCTCTGTGCCGAAGACAAGCCCAAGTCTGGAGAACAGGAAATATCAATGACCATGTGGTAAATAGGTCTCTGGAAATAAAACACTCAGAAACTCTGAGTTATGGTCTAATCGAGTTTCCCACCAATGTTCCTTGCTCAATGTGGCCTCACTCATGCGGTTTTCTCAGCAAGGGTCCGCTCCCTACTTCTGTACCAACTTAACTCCCTTCGAGGCCCAGGGTAAAACACCAAGTCCTTTTTCCCCCAAACTGGCCTTTCCTGAGCTTTTCACAACTACATCAGCCACAGTGGACTCACTCACCATCCTTGGCACACACTATCAATTGACAGGAGGCTTTGGGGCCCTGGACAGCCCTTCCCCTGACCTGCAACCGAAGATGCTGGCATGTCTTTGTCCCCACATAAAAGACATGAGAAAAAGGATTCACTGAAGGAGTCTACCCTTCTGTGGTCAATTATCCATCCTGAGAAACAGTGAGGCGAACCCTTACTGACTGACAATGACTTAAGTCTCTGGAGAATCTCCAAAGAAACTGGAATGTAAACAGCCACTTAACTGGCATTGTATCAAAGAAGAAACATGTGGACTGTTAACTCTTCCTGTGCATCAGAAAATCCACCTCTTCTGGATGAGTTTCGAGAGGGATAAATGTTGCTGCCTGGATTTGCAGTGATGGAGATGTGTCTCAGCAAAACACTATCAGTCAGTGATGGCTCGCTAGCAGCCTCTTCAACCCTGCAGGCCCTATTCAGAGTAAGACTGAGATTTCTTCTGTTTCACAGCTGGGGCCTTGGGCAGGGTAGCCTGAAGACCCTTCCCCAGGCTGATTCCGGGGGTGCCACATGGCCTAGCAGGAAAAGAATCAGCTTTGTAATCAGGTCTGGGTTCCGATCCTGATTCTGACATCACCAGTTAACGCAGGGACCCCGGGCAAATAATTCCACCTACTAAGAGCTCATACTTGTAAAGTGACAACCTCACCTGGTTGTTGAGGGGCTTAAATGACAACAAATCTCTGTTGAGTGTTTTAGAGGTTAAGATCCTGGCTGCGAGAACTTAGGCAAGCTACTTAGTTGTTCTGTGCCTCTGTCGCCTCATTCCTAATGGGGAATCATAGTAGCGGCTAATTTACAACAGAGCTATTAGGATTACTAAGTACTTGATTCATGGTGTGTGCATAGTGTTGGCATTCAATGCCTCACCTTTCTGACCAGAGAGGTAAGCAAGGGAATTATTATCTTGGCCTGGAGGGTCCCACACTTGCTGTTGGTAGAACCTGAATAAGAATGCAGCATTGGGGCTTCCCTGGTGGCACAGGGGTCAAAGTCTCAGCACCATCAAGCCAGCGCCAGCCTCTTTGGGTGCAAATTCAATCCCCAGCCAGGGACGTGACCCACATGGCGCAGCAGATCTCTCCTGTCTCCCCTGCTGCTCCCCTCAGCAGTGTATTTCAGTAGATCTGCCTGTTCCGCTCCCCACTCTGTCTCTGGTGAATCCTCTCACCTCCCTCACCTCTGGCCTATACCCCAGTTCTTGAATGCATAAATAAATATAAATAAATTTTAAAAAAAGTATCCAGCTTCCCTGCATCCCAGTCCAAAGCTTCAAATCAAAGCCCTGGCCAAAACCTAGCTGCCCGGGCTCGCAGGGCTGCTGGGTAGCAAGCCCATCCCAGAGCAGCCATAGCTGCTGGATTTTTTCCCTTCCAGGGGGTCTGGGGAACCTCTCCAAGTCAATCTGTGACTCTGTTGCTTGTACCTGAAAGTCTTTCCCACTACTATGGCAAGTCTCTTCTCCTCACTTGTGTTTGAAGTTCATTCAATGCCAAAGGGGGCAGGCCTGCCCCCTGGGGTGCCTGGTATCAGTGGCACAGTGGTACAGTGCTAGGAGTATTTTGGGTCCAGGCAGGAGGGAAGGGGCAGACCTGGGCTCTGTCTCCCAGCTATGCTGACAGTGGGAGTGCAGGTAATACAAAGTGAGGGCCCCTAGAAGAATAAAGCTTTGGTTAAGTGTTGGGGAGGCTGAGGAGACAGGAGGTAAAGAGGAGGATGAGAGAGAGACCAGCTTTTACAGAGCTGGAGGGATTTCCTGATCTCTCCTTTATGTAGCTCTGGAAAGTGACACTTGCATAACTGCCTGTAGGAAAGGTTGGGCCAATAGTCTAGCCTCTCAAGTGCCCACTTAGCTTTCCTTTGGTACCAAAGCTGCCTTTGCCTCCAACTCTGAATAGCTGGTGTCCCCACCCTAGCACGGCTGCATCCCTGCCACATATCACCCAAGCACCCAGGCTGGAGGAGGCCGGGATGAAACCTATTACCTTGACAGACTGTCTTTCAGGTGCTCAGATAAACTCATCACACCCCTATGTCCCTGGTCACTACCAAAAGCTAGACAATCTTGGTTATCCTTATGCTCCGGATTTTTACCTCCTTACAGTTCTGTAATCCCATAAACAGATTGTAATCCAATCTCCCAAATCCTTTGACTCTCTGGAACCCTTGGTTTATTATCATTGCAATCTCCCCGGATAAGGGGCCTCCCTGGTGGCGTAAGGGGTTAAGCACCGCACTACGAAGTAATCCGCAGCCTCTGCAGCACAAATTCGATCCTTGGCCTACCAGGGAGCAACCTACATGGTGCAGCAGACCTCTCCTGACTCGCCCGCTGCTCCCCTCAGCAGTGTATTTCATCAGTCTGCCTGTTCTGTTCCCCGCTCTGTCTCTGGTGAATCCTCTCACCCCCCACATCTCTGGCCTGTGCCCCAGCTCTTGTATGCATAGATAAATAAATCTTTAAAAAAAAAAAAAAAAAAAAAAAAAAGAAATCTCCCCGGATATAGCAATCTCTTTGAGCAATCCTTCACCTTCTTGTTCTAATGGAAAACTCCCATCCCCAAAACACAATTTCCTTGCAGCCACCTCCTGCCCTCTCTCTTCTCCTATACCCCTAATATCAATACGCCTGGAGGTGGTGAATTTTCCTCCTCATACATTATAACTATTTCTAGAATATTTTTCTCCTTCCTTCTCACCCTAAAGCACCACCTCTTATGAAGGACATAACCTCAGACCAACACAGCCGCCACCCCTCTAGTTGTAGACATTTACCACACACTGTGCTATTACCACTCACTCACAGAACATTCTAACACCTAGGTCACCGTCTTCCTCTCTACCAACGATCTGTTATTTTTCAAAATCTTACCATTCATTCATTCTTACATCCAGTGAGTATTTTTGAGCACTTGTGTGCCGAGTTCTGTCCTAAAATTGAAGATAGAGGAGTAAACTAAGAGAAAATGTCCTGGGAAAGCAAGGATAATTCACAAACAACATAAAGTCAGGTAGATAGGCTAAGAAAGTGAAAAAAAAACAGGTGTAGGGGTAGTGGCAGGGGAGGGAGCTGCCCTGGAGACAGTGCAAACCACCCACCGGCACTCCTGGTTCCTGACCGTGTCACGCTCCACCAGACTCCTATCCACCGCCAGCCCCCACTCCCATGGCCATAACCCACAGCTCCTCACTTCTGAACCCCCCGAAGTCTGACCTCCACTTCCTGTGTTTTTAGCTCATTATTCTATTACCTCTACTCTATTCTCCGTCCTCTCAGGACCTCCATTCCACTGAATTCATCCCTTTCACTGCCCCTTTCACTCTCCCTTTATCAATTCTCACCAGCCTCCCTCTCCAGCTCTACTCTCGTCCGTGACAATAATCGCCCTTTTGCACCAGCCCTCCAACTGTTGGCCCTATCCCTTCGTTGGCGTCTCCTGACACACCTTGACCTTGCTTAACCCCAGCATCCTGCCTACTCTGCACCTGCACCGAGTAGCTGAACAGCACTGGGGAAAATTCACAGCCCCGCTGACTAGCCGCACTTTACATTTCTGACCACAAACCTCAAGTGGGCACTCGGCTTGCCTTGTAATCCTACTGTGTTTCTCTTCTCAATTCACTGCCCCACTTTCCAGATGAGTGTTTCACGTCTTCTCTTCTGTTCTTCAACCTTCAATACCTCCTCTTTGTTCCCCGCTGTTAGCTGAAGAACTTACACCTTATCTCCCAGGGAAAGCGCACACGAGCAGATGAAAAACACCTGTCTTCTTGCATCAGCTCTCCCAGGGGGCCTGCGCCCAGACCCTAGCCACCACCTTCCTTTCTGTCAATGGCCGGCCTGCTCTCACATTTTGGACAAACGAGACCCCAATCCTTTCATTTACTCAAGGATTTTGCCTGAAATCATCCTTCTCCTTCCTGCACCATCCAACTCTCCTTTCTACCAGGTCATTCCCTTCAGCGTATAAATGTGCTATAATCTCTCTCGGGCTCCTGCTCCATTTCCTTCCTCCCCACATCCTCACCCCCATTTCCTCTTAGCTCATCCCACCAAGCTTTTGTCTCTGCCACTCCATCAAAACTGCGCGTGCCAAGTCACCAGTGACCTGCTAGCTGGCACATCCAGAGGTCAGTTTCCTGCCATCTTATTCAGCCTCTCAGCAGCATTTGCACAGTAGAGAAATCGCTCCTCCTTGAATCACTGTCCTCACTTGGAGTCCAGGATTCAGCGCTAGTCTGGGTTACTCCCACCTCCATGGCAGCTCTCTCAGACTGCTGCAGGGGCTCCCCCTCATCTTGATCTCTAAAAGTTAGCATGGAGTGGTTACTTCTTTCCTAGTTAGTCTCCCCCATATTATATCCCTGTAGGCCTGTCCTTTTAAATGTCATCTAGGGTGGAAATCTGCCAGGGGTGATGCATTAGAATGAAATAGCAGCTTGCAGCTCCCTGTCTGGATGTGAATCCTTCCTCTACCCCTGAAGAGCTATGTGACATGGTTATTAAATAATCCTCTGTGCTACAGGAAGAGGGTATTTTGCATGAGCCTGACAGTGCCCATGAGCAGGGTCTGAGACAAAGGCTTAAGTAAGAATAGTATTTGGGAACATGGGAACATGGGGGGCAGGAGTGAGGGAGTAGAAGAGGAAGCAGGGAAAGAAGGGGAGTTGGCCAAAGGTTTGTTAACAAGCCACCACCTCTTTGGGTGACGGTTACCTGATCCTGAAGGAACTTCTGAGACGCTTTCTCAGAGCCCAATAGAAGGAAAGGAAGGCATCAAGTCATTAGCACTTGTCAAGTTGCCCTCTATACTTCTGGGTGCCTCACGTATCAGTGGCAAGCGGGTTCCATGGAAGTCCCCCACGGCCCAGGGTCGGGAGGTGAAAAGCAGGTGGAAGAGGAACTGTCAGGCTGCATTTGTGCGACAGTGTCCCAGGCCTCTGCAAAAACAGTTACCACAGCAGTGACTGGAACTGGAGGTGAGGCTGAGGGGTGCTTCAGTGACACACAGCTGGACCCAGTACAGAGATGACTAAAAAGCTCACCTCACAGGACTACATGGTGGGGGTGATTCTAACCCTCTCCCCTGCCTGGTAGACATCTCAGAGGTCTGTCTTGTTCAAAACAGAGCTCTGATTCCCTGTCGCTCCCCTACCCCAATTCTTCCTCCAGTCATCTCCACCACCATTAAACGACTGGATTCATCTCTCCTGCCCCTCACATCCAATTCATAACCAAACTCCGGCTTCAAAATATACCCTAGTCTGACCTCCTCATTAACTTCCAGGATGAAGTGCCCAGCCTAGGCCAAGTCACTATCCCCCTGCCCAGGCCACTCAGGGGCCTCCCCAGTCTCCCATCTTGGCTCCTGCCTCCATACGATAATTGCCCTTTTGCAATTATTGTGTGAATGAAATAGCAGATCAGTCTCCCACAGAATGTTACTCCCCTGATTCCAGTACTCTTCAACAGCTTCCTGTTATCATTATTTTATTGAGATATGAGTCACATACCATGTATTTTACTCATTCACAGCGTACAATTCATTGTATTTTTATTTACAAGGTCCCATGTCACAATTACCACAATCACTTTTAGAACATTTTTATCACCCCCCCAAAAGAGAAATCCCATATCCAGTAGTATTCTCTGCCCACTTCCTTCCAACACTCTCAGTCCTGAGATAATCTACTCTAGAGATGAATCTTTCTGTTTCTATGGATTTGTCTATTTTAGACATTTCACCTAAATAGAATCATGCTGTATGTGTCTTTGTGACCAGTTTCTTTTTCCTGTTATTCTTAAAAACAACTCTAAACTCCTTGTCATGACTTCCGATGCCCTTGTGGTCCAAGCCCACCTGAGACTCCTCAGCTGGGTATCTGCCTCCCCCCAGCCCAGGCTCCAGTCTTTCACCCTTAGACCTCAAATTTGCTTGTCCCTCCCTTCACCAGGACTTTCCTCAGATGTTCACACGGGCCATCTCTCAAGACTCAGGTGTGTGCCCCACAGTTACCGCCTCTCTCGCTCCCTCCTTGCTGTGTCTATCCTCCTCCGTACTGTCTGAAGTATTTATTTGTTTACTTATTTACTGGCTCTCTCCCCCTTTAAACCTCCAGAGAGTGAGGACTTTGTCCTGTTCACGCTTGAATCCCCAGCACGACAAAACTGTTGGTAACACGGTGTTTGGCATTTGCTACATGAATGATTGGATAATGCTTCTGGAAATTCCATTGAGGAATTTCCACAATTCCTCTCATCTGCCAGAATAGTGTGAGACACCTTCAAAGCTGTAAGCTCTTCCCTCATTCCAGTGAAAACCAGCATGTTATAGTTTACAATCATTTTCTTTTTCTGCTGGATGTTAGGGTATTTGCTCCAATATAACACTCTTGGCCACCCCCTCCACCCCAACACACACACACACACACACACACACACACCAGCAAAGCTCTCTTTTCTCAGGCTTTCCTCAGAGGTTCCAGATTCCTGGAACCCCTTGCTCCCACAGGAAAAGAATATTCCACTTATTGGCTATGAGGGTTACTGTTCCAAACACACAGAAAACACCATGGCCTGAAGCTACCCTGCCTCAGCCACCCTGCACTATCGTCAACCTCATTGTGTACTCTGGGCTTTTGCTCTGGGCTTGGCCTTCTCCCTGCCTTCCTGATAGTGCCTCTTTCCTTTCTCTTTAAGAATCTCAGCCTGATGGGAAAATAGGTCTTTCAGACATTGCTGTTGAGAATGAAAATGACAACTTCTGGAGGACAACTTTTGGAGGACAACATTTGTCTAAATAACAGCCCTTGAGCCCTACGTACTGGTGTACATTTTGAAAGGACACATGTGGCACAACCATCCAGTAGCAAAGAATTGGAGACTGACTACCTAGAGCCCTCAATAGAGACTGATTTAGTGCAAAGCACGCTTAGAAACTGTAAGAAAAAGTGCCTTCCTGGTGGTGCAAGGGGCTAAGGGTCACCACTATGAAGCTATCCGCAGTCACTGCAGCACGAGTTCGATCCCCACCAGGGAGCTACCCACACGGTGCAGCAGACTTCAGTGTTCTGCTCCCCACTGTCTCCAGTGAATCCTCTCATCCACCCCTCACCTCTGGCCTACACCCCAGCTCTTGTATGCATAAATAAGTAAATCTTAAAAAAAAAAAAAAAGAAACTGTAAGAAAAAGTGGAGACCCTTCTACATGAGGATATAGAGCCATCCCCAAAACATTTTGTCACGAAAAAACATAATTATAGTAAACTACCTATTAACTAATAAAGAGCAAAACTAAGAAATATATTTACATAAATAAATACTGGAAAGATACAAATCATAGATAGATAGATAGATAGATAGATAGATAGATAGATAGATAGATAGATAGATAGAGGAACTGTTAGGGAATAATTAGGAGGAAAATTTTTGTCATTTTTGTATTTGAACCATGTGACCATACTATGTATTTTTATAAATAAGTAAATAATATTGGGGGAAGGAAATCACACCTTTATGTGGGGGTGAGTTCTTGTCTTCGAATGACTCTTAAGGTCTTTCTTTCAAGAAATTAAAGGTGTTTATAGTCATGGTTTGGTACAAATACTACGCCTCTATGACATTGGCTGTGACATCTGGGGTGTGGCCTGCCAGCTTACCGAGGGCAGGCCTTGTTTCATTCACCCATGTGCTCCCAGCACCAGCACAGTGGGGCACAACAGTGTGTACGCACTAAATGCTTATCGATGAAATACAAAATAAGTGCATGGGGAGAATGATTCCTAACTCAGTCATGGGCATCTTGGTCTTGGTAAAGACCCTACAGATATAAAATTGTCAAAAATGGATGAATCTGGGGGCCTCCCTGGTGGCACAAGGGGTTAAGCACTGCACTGTGAAGCAATTCGCAGCTTCTACAGCACGAGTTCGATCCCTGGCCAGGGAGCAACCCACATGGCGCAGCAGACCTCTCCTGACTCGCCCGCTGCTCCCCTCAGCTCAGCAGTGCACTTGGGTCCATCTGTGGGTTCTGTTCCCCACTCTGTCTCTGGTGAGTCCTCTCACATACTCACCCCCACCCCTAGCCTGCACCCCAGCTCTTGTATGCATAAGTAAATAAATCTTTTTTTAAAAAAAGGAAAGAGGGAGGGAGGAAAAGACAGAAAGGGAGGGAAGGAAGGAAGGAGGAAGGAAGGAGGAAAGAAAGAGGAAGGAGGAAGGAAGGAGGGAGTGAGGAAGCAAGGAAGGAGGAAGAGGAAGGAAGGAGGGAGGAAGAAAAGAGGAAGAGGAAGGAGGAAGAGGGAGGCAAAGGGAGGCAGGAGGAAGAGCCCAGCTGCAGGCAGGATCACTCATCTAGAGGCTGACGGGGCTGATGTCAGGTGCTCAAAACTCTGTGGCCGGGCTCTGCCTCTGCGCCCCCGAGGGCAGGCCGTGACTGGAGCAGACTCCCAGCCAGGGCTCTCTGCTGTGGCCGCGAGGCGCTTCTGGGAGCACAAGCACACGTCTGGAGCACTCGTGGACTCCTGGGCACAAGGCGGCTGGCATGGGTTCTACCCCCCAGGAGTGTCAGGTTACCGCAGAGCCAAGACCCGGGCTCGGCTGGGACCAGCCCAGGTTGCCAACTTAGCTCCTGCAGACCTGGCTGCCACCTTGCAGCTGGCTCCTTCCTGAGACAGGGAGCCAGGACAGAACTGTGGCTTTTGCTGGGACCTCACTCCCTCCTCCCCACGTGTGACACGGGGGGTTCTGCAGATGGGTAGCTCTGTTTCCTTTCAAGCCTCCTTTGCCAAGTCACCCTCGCCCTTCCTATCCTGGGTGGGGGAGTTTTTTGAGGGGAAGCTGGGTTGTTTTCTGGAGACTGCAGGCCACTGAAGCCCTAAGCCCAAGGCCCCAGGGCCTCACAGGGGAAGGTGAATTGAAGCAATTTGGCTAGAGCTGGACTTGAGATAAGCCAAAACCCAGGGCCCTGTCCCTACCTGTGCCTGTCAGATTCCCGCCTTCCCATCCCTCCACCTCCAAAGTCCCAGCTCTAGACCCAAGTGAGCATCCCTCAGCTGTGAGCTGGGGTGGAGAACCCCTTGTAGCGCCAGCCAGATGTCCCCTGGGATTTGAGTGATTGCCTGCAGCCGGGGGTGGGGTTTGAGGGGTCTGGTAGCAATGGGCTGAGCTTCTGGACTGTCAACCTGGGAGGTGGGGTTGGGGGTGTGTGTGTGTGGGGGGGGGGGGTGACGGCCCAGCAGGGGAGCTCCTGAACTTTCTGCTCCACTGCCTCAGAGTGCGTACTGTTCAGAGGTGTCCCTTGAGTACATGTGTCTGCCCCAAAGAGCAACTGGGTATCTGCCCAGGCTCAGTGGCAACCTGCCCTTTTCTGGGTTAGACTGAGAACAGAACCTGCCAGAGCCCTAGCACTGTGGGTCCAAGGCTATCTTGACCAGCAAAGAGGTCTGGCCCGACCAAATCTCACTTCCTCCTGTTCCTTCCTGTCCTTCCCACTCACTTCTCACACTCTACTCGCCCTCTCCTTTAGGAGCTCAGCTCCTTCCCTCCCCCAGGTAGAAGCCATGCCCACACTGAAGAGGCCATCAGGCTCTTCCAGGAGACAGTAGGTTGCAGCCAGGGAAGGGCTGAGAGGCCTTGTGGAAAGGGTCTGTGGTCACTTCCAAAACTAGAATCTCAGCCTTTGGCTTTACTGGGAAGCTCAGCAGAATCCTCCCAAGATTGGTCACTCAACCAGAGCACTCCCTGTGGCAGGTCCAGGTCAGAGGGCAGAAAGCCCTTCCCATGCCACCCCCAGCAGCTGAACTGAGAGTGAGGAGCCCCTCCCAGGCGCCCCAGGCCTCAGGCCTCTCAGGTTCCCTCTGAGGGAGGGGGCTGCTGCAGAACCAGCTGCAGCTGTGGGAAACCACACACCGCAGCCTGCAGGTGCAAGGGGCCTGGGGGAAGGGGAGAGGATTAACTGTTTCTTGGGAGTAGGCCTTCTCCCTTCCTTCCATTCCCAAACTGTGGCTTCTCGGCAGTGGTGGATACAGAGCTAGGGAGTATGGGGTGGATACACAGCCACAGAAAAATCAAGGGACCTGTGATCTAATGATGAGAGGCAAGCCCACCTGAAAGGCCCCGAAGCTGGCAGAGAGAAGCCGCTATCATTGACTCCCCGCCAAGTCCGGAGGCCACTGAGGAACCTTGGGTATCATGTCCCTTCTCACGTCTGACTGCCCTGTTCTCTGAGTGATTCCTCATCAGGGGACCCTGCTAGGGGGAGGTGGAAGGCTGTCTCCACCTCCCCTGACACTTTCCTTACCCTGGGCCTGTCCACTGAGGACCCCTCAGAGGGCTGCCTTGGGAAGTATTAGGCCAAGCCTCAGAGGAGGGGCTGTGGTGGAGCAGGCCTGCCCCCACTCAGCCCAGGGTCTCCCAGTGGGAGCCATTAGTACTGAGTAAACCATGGCTTGGACACTGCTCTGGGGTGAGCAGGGATGGAAGTCACTCACAGGGAAAGCTTTCACAGAGTTCGCAGAAGGGCTTCTTTCAGTTATATTCCTCCCCAGAGCTTGGTATGTGCCTCATGCTGCCCTTCTGCCTGCTGACCTGACCTGACTTCTCACCCCGCCAGTGCACGCACCTGGTAGGTGCACTCACCAAGCGCAGTCTTCTGGCAAAAGGCCTAAGTGGCTCAGGATCCTATGGGAAAGGCCCGCCTTGCCCTTGTTTTAGCCCCCCACCTCCTTCCCATTCTTGCCAGTAGAACTCATGTCCCTACTCTCTGGATCTTTCACAGATGTGAGAAAAGTAACACTCTCTAGGAGTGACTAAGTTTCTTCAGCACGCCTGTCTGAGCTCCCACTGCTTGCGGCTGTGCTGAGGCTTGGAGATGAATCAGTCTGGTGGAGTAAACTTTCACACTACTCAGAGACAGAGCTTTTCAAGGAAAGGCAGTGTAGGGTAAGAGGACTAGTCAGGCTTTTATGCTGCTGGCCTCTGTGGCTATCACCTGCGGCCTTGAATGCAGGAGGCGCTTGGCAGTGTGGGCTCAGGGTACACGTGGCTGATGGTGGACACCTGGAGTATGGTGCGGGCATGTGGAAGTGGGCACACCTGAGCCAAGAGACAGGCTCTAAGGGCGGTGTCACAGAGGACAGAGTGTGGCAGACAGTGCCTAGGAGAGGAACAAAGGCTGCAAGAGGAAGAGAGAGCCAAAGAGTAAAGATTCGCCAGGGGACTGGGGGGTCTGCCAGCCCTCCCCTCACCCCCACCCCAGCATTGCCTTCCCCACCCCTCCCCGCACCCTGCCTGCCAGGGCTCTCCTTTACCCGTCTGTCTGAATTGATTGAGAACCTGCCCCGTGCCTTCCTGGCACTACAGGCAGCAAGTTCTTCAGGGGCAGAGGAGGGGTCGATGATGATAATGGGTGTCCGTAAAGAGCACTTGAATATTATATAAAGCCCATAGTGGTGGATGTTTTGAATGAAGTAGAAAGGGATGAGGCAGACCACTTAGGACAAATTGGGGAAATAAAAATGAGTCACAACCCAGGACATATATGACTGACCCAAAGGACTTTTAAAATAGAAGAGTAGAGTCACTTCCCACTGGGTAATCCAGGAAGGCTTCCTGAAGGAGATGATATTTAAACTGTAGGGAATGGAGGTGGATGTCAATAGTCTGAATTAGGGGAAGATGGATGAAACACCTTAGGGGCAAACAAAATGTATAACAAAGGTAAAAGATTTTACTAGGATATTAAAATGAGGGAGTTATCTCTATTGCTTTTCCTCTGCTTTTACTTCTTTAGGAAGGAGGGCTGATTCTTCTACCTCTTACCCATCAATTTCTGATCTTATAGATGTCTCCCTTCCTACCTTCCCATCCTTAGGGCTCCCTTTTTTGCCCTACAGAAACCATCCATTAAGGCCGTGTTTATATTTGGTCTTTGTCCCCTTTTCCTGGCAAAGTTTTAAAAGCCCTGGAATTTCCAAAGATTTAATAATACGTATAGTTATTCATAATGATCCCCTCCCAGCAAATCTGAGTTTGTGCGCAGCAGAGAGGACCCTGGGTAGGATTTAGAGAGTTTCAAGGGAGGGGCTGGCCAATCCAGAAAGACTGTGGGCAGGTGTGATTAGTGGGTTGGAAATTTCATCCCCACCCTACTCCTCTGGGGAGGAGAGACTGGACATTGAGTTCAAGCCTGGAACCAATGAATTTATCAATCACACCTATGGGATAAAGCCCCATATATACTCAACACTGGACTCAGCTTCCAGTTGGTGAACATATTGATGCACCGGTAGGGTGACACCTCTGATTCTACCCCAGCCCCTGACTCACAGCAGATCTTCCCTAAAGCCTCTTCTCTTTGGTTGTTCCAGAGTTAGGTTTTATAATAAAATGCGAAAATTGTCAATTGTGACTGTGATCTTATTGACTGTGACAATAAGACAAACATATTGGGTACATAATAGGTCATTCAGATGACCAACCAAAATGTATTTCTCATAGATATTTGGTCTTCATTCTCAGTCCCAAGCTCACAAATGCCCAGAAGCCT